AGGAGCTTCATAATTTGTACTCTTCTCCAAGTATAATTAGAATGATCAAGTCAAGGAGGATGAGGTTGGCAGGTCATGTAGCACGAATGGGGAGACGAGGAATGCGTATAGGATATTAGTGGGAAAGCCAGAAGGTAAGAGACCACAGGGAACACCAAGGCGTAGGTGGGTGGACAATATTAGAATTGATCTTAGAGAGATAGAATGGGATGGTATGGATTGGATAGATCTGGCTCAGGATAGGGACCAGTGGAGGGCTCTTGTGAACATGGTAATGAACCTTAGGGTTCCATAAAATGCTGGGAAATTCTTGAGTAGCTGCAGAATTGGTGGCTCCTCCAGAAGGGCTCAGCTCCATGAGTAAGTAAGTAATGTTTATCAAGATAATTTTATGAAATAGTCAGTTTTATAATAAATTTATGTCATCTGCAGTGCATTGGTATTTTTTGGGGGACAAATTGAAAATGAATTTCATTGCTTATAGATGAAGTTCAATAGCCTATCTCCTCCTGTGTAATTTCCAGAATTTCCATTATGTTCTGCAGCCACCCAATGAAGAAAAAGACTGATAAGTGAGTGTTCTTATAAGTTGCATGGCATGAGTGTCAGTGCTAAGCATCCAGTGATCAGCAGAGAATGTGTTAATATTGTCCTTTCATGGATTTAGTGTTTCGGTTTAGGAAGATTTAAGAATTATTCTCTGTATTGTCACATGTAAGGGTGACTGTTGATGGGGGATGGGGTGAGAGGTTGGATTGGAAATTCTATTTATTGACCACTTAATACTCTCACAACTAATGACTACATTTTACAGTTTACTGACTTTCAACTGACAACTAACTGGGTCACCCCAATTGTCTTCCTTATAACCACTATGCATGAACCAAGTAGAAAATACGTTTTCCAACAGTAACTTTATTGTTGTGTATGTATTCGTTGCCATGGGAACGTGTTTACCAATCTGTTGCATAGAAACGGGTTGCATAACACCATTGTTTATTTACCTGTTATATAGCAATGTCTGTACATGATGCATTATGTTTCATATTTCCCCTGCCCAATCCCAGCCTTCCTTGATGTAACTTCAGCAACTTCAAAATAAGATGTATGAATCACAAAATTTCTCATTTATTATATCTTCCATTTCTGCCTCCTCTAACTCTTATTTGTAGAACTAATTATGTTTCACTGTTTTTAATGTCACCCTACAGGATCATTTGAATATGGGATGATCATGTGTTCTGGGAGAACAGGAGAATGAAGTGAAATAAAGAACAGTGTCATATTCACAGGACATGTTGCTACACAAAGTTGCAATAATGTTAGGAGAATTAAAGCGTTTTAATTTATTTTATAACTTCCATATTAAAAAAATGAGCATATATATAAATGGGTTTTTCTTTTCAGATTTATATTGCTGCTTTTGCATATGTATATGGAGACCCTTTAAAACTCGTCAATGGTTATGACAGTTTTGGTAATACATGTGGTATTTCAAAGAATGAAAAGTTGGGTGGTCTTGAGTTATCAGGATTTGACACAAGTGATAAACAGTAAGTCAAAGTTTAGTTATGCTGTATTTTACCCTGGTCCTCTCATGTTTAAATCTCTGTGTCAAACAAAAAACTTTAGTATACTGGGAGTCCCTTAAAATCAGGGGCTGGGTGGTCTATTAGTGCCCTTAGCCCACCTCTATGCCTGTTAATGCAGCAATTATTGAATGTGAGCCCCATCACTGTGCTGAGTTTTATAATGTTTTTGCTATGCAGTAAAGTTGTTACAATGGAGCTGTTGATGTTTTCATATTGATACAGACTGTGATTAGACTCTGGCCAGTTTGAGGCCATCAGGTCTGTTACAAATGCTGACAGGTTTATTTTGTTTAATTTACAGTGCTGTCTCAGTTTATGAAGTTGAGTAATGTCATATGATTATTGTGCATGATAAAGTGAAGGGATATTAAAGAAGTGGTTATGACTTATTTTATGGTATTATCCTAGCATATGGCTGAGGTGTGAACTGCATTCCTTTAATATGGGTCAAATGTGGCGTTACTCTTCCAATGTGTTCGGTGATTTAATTGGCCTGAGCTGAAGCTGTATATCTAGATTTTGTACATGAAGAGCACTGTCTTCTGGGTCAGATGGTGTGTAGTCTGGTAGAAGTTTATCGATGTTTCAGAGGTACATGCTGCCTGCATCTTCAAGGTTGAAGAGTAAGTCCAGCAAACAGCAAGTACAGTGCTTGCACACTGACATAGCAGGATACATTGAAACTCCCATTTAAGATTTCCTCGAGAAATTCTAAATAGAGGAGATTTAATGCTTGAGTTATTGACTTGGAATCAGTTAAATTAAATGATAGAACACCTTGAACTGAGATGTGTGAAGTGAGGGTTCGGTTGTATGTAGCTGGCTGTTGGCTATCCTGTGGTTGCACATCCATGATGTAAGGGGATGTCTGGTACAGTGTTTGCTGTACTCATCTTAATATATTGTGCGGGGTACTACCAGTTATTTAAGATGCCTTTAGAGAGGCCAACAAGTTCTAGTGCAAGTAATGTGTCTAAAAGAGTATGGAAAGGAATTACATTTGATGTAAAACTTGATCTTTTGAGGACGTCTGATGCTGGTGAAAAGTGACTCAGTATGTATTTATGATGAGTTTAAAACATGTTTTTATTATAGCCATAAACTAAAAGTATTTTGATAGGAATGAATTTCCTTTTGTAACATTGGAGTTTATGGAAATATAGGTATGCATCACAGAATTTCATGATGCAGACACATTTTAAAGAACACATCCTGTCTGTAATGTAGGCAGCCTGCTTAAGCAACACTACCTCTGTAGCCATTGAGCTATTTTGGCTCACTTAAATGTTCTCTGCATTTCCAGTCATAATGTAACATTGTCATGTTGCAGGTACTTGTTTTATATGGATGTTAAAGATATTCAAAATTCTCTGAAGATATGTGTCAAACAGTGTCCTGATCGTAATTTGATAAATTTTACAAGTATTCAGGAATTTTATAGAAGAACTGGATCACTTTTGTGCACGTACGTACTTTATTTTCATTTTTGCTATTCATTATCCATATTTATTTGTTGATATTAATGGTAAATATACAATTGTGATATAGGATTCATGCCTTAAAGCCTTGAATGTTTTAGTATGGGTTTCATCATCACATGTTATATAAATTTCACAAATGAGGTGATGAGTCGTACTGGTATGAATATAATATCAGTAGTGTAGGAACTGCAGTATCTAATTCCAGAATAGTGTGGCATGCCTGCTGAAAGCCATAATAGTTTAACTAGAAGAGATGGCCATTACTAGGTTATGGCTCAATAAACAGTGACACAACACTGGAATACGTCATGCCACACAACATAACCAATGAGAGTATCGCTGGGAATGGTGTTCTTTGTGGGTCCTTACCGATGGTGATGTCATCCAACAATGTAGGAATTGTGGGAAGTATCGTTTTTTGTTTGATCTGTTCCGAGGCTATATCACAAGAACCTGCGAGAGAAGGTAGCCAGTCAAGAAATGATAGCTGAAGTTGGGGGTCAGCAGTTGGAAGCCATTTACTTCAGCTTTGGGAGCTACAGCTGAAAGGTGCTAGACAGCAAGGACAAGAGCCATTGGACATGGAAGCTGAGGACGCTACAGTGTTGGAGGCCGTTACCAAGCAGTGTGACTGAGGATAGTGACTATGTGATAGTGACCTGTGAAGTGTAGATAAAAGCTGTAAAAGTGTCAAATAAATCCACTTATCATTCCCAAACCCATCTATATTCTTCATTGGTTGCATCATATTGTGTGTTCCAGATATATATAGGAATTATGTTAACCATCAGCACAACAAATGTACTCAGTTTTAATGTTTTACAATTTGGTCTTTATTCCTGCTACATGTTTCAGTCATATAAGACCATCGTCAGGCAGTTTGTATATAGGAATATGTACAGTTATTGAACTACCAATACGGATCCATATGTCATATTGTATACTAACAAAAAACTTTTGCTTCAATTTGGTGTTACAATTAAAGTAGAAGATACAAAATAAGGTAAAAGATTAAAGATATACAGGGTGTCCCAGGAGGAATGGACCAAACTTCGGGAGGGTGTTCCTTATGTTAAAGTATGCCGATATAACCCAAAACACCTATGTCCAAAGTTGAACGGTTACGGAGATAATGGCCAGAGAAGTGTCAAACTTTGACCGGTGTTACACACTTGTTGATTACAAAATACATATTAAAACTGGCAGGAATATGTGGATTCTGTAATGTTAATAATGTACGTAACATCAAACTAACTTGTGAGTGACGTGAAGCCATAAAATTGAAGTACGAAATACCCGCTTGCCATGCCATAATTGTCCTTAGGGTTTCCAAGCACTATACATGACACATGACTGGCAAGCAGTGACGTAATATGGCTGCGCTGTAAGCTGACCACATAACTGTATTAAACGTACATTCACGGAAAATCTCTTTTTGAATTTCGTTTCCATTATCTCATGTGGATTATTATGGGACCACGTATGCACATTTCGTAAATTATTTACACCGTCCAGGGTAAAAGACGCCTCATCACTATACATGACACATGAATGGCAGGCGCTGGTGTAACATGACTGACTGTGCATTCTGCTATAAGCCAACTACATTAGTACTAAAATACAGTACCTGCTTTATAGTAATTGTTCAAAGTGTCCTCCGCCAGCTGCAATGCAGTTTTCGGCACGCATCATGAGGGATTGGGTAGCAGAAGCAATGTTGCCTGGATAGTTGACGTATGTGTTCTGCCGCTGCAAAAATACGATTCCGCAGTGCTTCTCGGGAATCGACCTTAGTTTCGTAGACTAAGGTCTTCATGTGGCCCCAGAGGTAATAATCTAGAGGCGTAAGATCTGGCGACCTCGGTGGCCATGCAATGGGACCACCACGACCTATCCAGCGGTTAGGGAAGGATTCATCTAAGTAGTGTCTCACGTGCTGAGTATAATGTGGAGGAGCCCCATCATGTTGGAAGTACATTTTCCTCCTTATCGTTAACGGGATGTCTTCCAACAAACATGGTAACTCATTCCTTAGGAAGGCTCCATACGTGTTTCCAGTTAAATTGTTGTGAAACACAAAAGGTCCGATCAACCTGTTCCCAAGCACACCACACCATACATTCACAGAAAATCTCTTTTGGAATTTCGTTTCCATTATCTCATGTGGATTATTATGGGACCACGTATGAATATTTCGTAAATTATTTACACCGTCCCGGGTAAACGACGCCTCATCACTGAATAAAATGACGCTTAACAGTTCGGGATGAGCTTTTATCCAGTGGCAGAAATCCATACGCTGAGCATGGTCGCCTGGTTCCAGATGTTGTACCCTTTGATCATGGTAAGGATACAGGTCTTCGTCATGTAAAGTTCGCCACACCTGCATACGTGATACGCCGATGCGAGAGGCCATTCTACGAGTGGAGAGACGCGGACTTCTATCAATCATGCGAAGAATGTTCTCTCGTGTGTTTCTCATTTGTACATCCTCCCTTTCCGACTGCACAGAAACACTTGCAAGAGAACCAGTATCACGCAATGTCTGGTGAATTCGCGTAAATACACTTCGAGATGGAATCCTTCGATCGGGAAAACGCCTTTGGTATTCTCCAACAGCAGCACATGCATTGCGACCGCAAAATCCATACACAAAATGCATATCACAGTATTCAACGTGTGAAAACACAAAAGGCATTTCAGCAACACCGCACAACTACACATAATTTACTAACCATTCACGACGCTGATGCAACATACACTGTAGCCTCTGTAAGTAGCGCATGAGATTACGGCTAGTATGACTCACAGCACTCAAGGACGAACAGATAACAGCTCAGCTGACAGGTATAGTGCGTGGACCCGCTAGAAGACCACACTTTTCTCGGGCCATTATCTCCATAACCGTTCAACTTTGGACATAGGTGTTTTGTGTTTTATCGGCATACTTTAACATAAGGACCACCCTCCCGAAGTCTGGCACATTCCTCCTAGGACACCCTGTATAAAAGTTATACCATACATATATCAAGATTTATAATATGTTGAATATATTATGGAATATTAAAAATATTAGAAGTATTTTAAAAAATGTCTAAAAATATATTAAAGAAACAATGTTTAGTATAGTAGGTTAAGAATGTGTATGCCAACTTGAATACGAAGGTTCCAGTGATACAGTAGAAGCTGGGCATACAACGTCTGCAGTATAGCTCTGTTTATTGCGTGACAGACATGTCATTTTCCCAAGAACAACAAATTTTCATTGTGGTACATTATTTCACTATTTGTTGCTATGCATATGATTGGGTTTTCTTCACTGACCAAGCGTGGTTTCACCTTAGTGGCCATGTGAACAGTCAAAACAGTAGGATTTGGTCATCTGAAAATCCACATGTGTTACATTAAAGCCTTTGCACTGTCAGAAAATTGGAGTGTGGTGTCACGTCGTCGAATAGTGGGCCAAATTTTCTTTGAAACAACAGTGAACAGTCCAGTGTACCAAGACATCATTACACAGTTTATTGTGCTTCGTGAAGTTGATGAACATGAGTGTTGGTTGCAGCAAGATGGTGCCATATGACACACATCTAATGAAACCGTGCAGTTTTTGCTCGAGTTTTTCAGTGACCATCTCATTTTGAAAGGATTGTGGCCCCTGCGTTCGCCCAACTTGTCACCTGCAGATTTTTTTCCCTTTGTGGGTACCTCAAAGGAATTGTCTATAAAAACAATCCGCATACACCGGATGACCTCAAGAGGAATATTATGACAGCGATTAACAGCATCAGTTTACAGGTGCTGCACAGTGGCCTCAAACATGGTAAAAAGAGCTCACGCATGCATTGCTGAACAGGGAAGCCATTTCAAGCATATGTTCTAAAGACATGATTTGATTTTGCGTTTCTAAGATGTAAGGTTATAAACAATAATAGTAAGTGCTGTATGTCATGTAGTTTGTGCATTAAACTAGCAAAATATAATTGCCTAGTGTGATGTGCACAACTTCTTAATCTTCCTGTATATTGGGTATGCTATTTTCATGATATATATTGTTATATAATCATACAGTATAGTGTATGTGTTTGTTGTCTGGGTGTATATACGTTCGGTGTGTTCTGCACTGTGCGTTGGTTCGATGTAGAATGAGCCTGCATCAACTGTGTCTCCGCGTACCCATTGCTTAGTAGCGGTTCCCAGTAGTGACATCTTTTGATTCTTGCATGGTTCTTGTTATATAGCCTCAGTATGGACCATATAGACGACACAGTTTCCAACAGTTCCTCTGTTGTGGTGTGTTGATTCTCCAACATTTTGTCTGTTGTAGCATGTTAATTCATTGCCATGGAAACATGTTTAAGTTGTCATCCAGTGGTGGATTATTTTCTGGCTTTTATGTTGCAGCATGATAAAATTGAGGTGCAGATTTCATGTAGGGGTTGGATTTTCATTTACTAAATGTGGGTGAGGCACTAAAATGAGAAATGTTACTTAGGGAAAAGTGTTTGTTATTTATGTGGGGTTTTGACCCATATAAATGATGTAGTTTGTTCTTTTTTCTTAGGTACGATTTCAATTTGGACAGTCAAGAATGGCAGCATAATAGTAAAAGTGAAGCACTTCAGACCAAGTTTGGGCCTTGTCCACCAACACCCATTTATGATAGGTAATTTGGATCATTTTTATTCTACAGTAATCTGGTGCCATCCATGGTTTTTCATTTAATACAGTTTTTCCAAGCACTGTATTTGGGTTTAATCTGTCCACACTTTTTAACTATGTGATAGCTCATTCAGTACACTTATAGGCTACAGGCTGGGTGACTAGGGTTCAGTTCCTTGCGGGTTAAGTTTTAGTTTTAGTTTTTTTTAATGTCTCCACAGTGACCTGACCGGCTCTGGTGCCCACACAACCTCCTCTCTGATGGGTACTGGGGCCTCTTTCCCCAGGGGTTATTTGTGAACATGCTATTACATATATTTTGTGTGCAATGAAGAAGGTAACTTAGAACTTGATGAGCAGTAACAGTGGCAGGAGTTTTCTTAACCCAAAATTTTCCATAGTGTCTTGGTATTGACAACTGAGGTTTTATGAACTGCATTGTTTTTCAGGAATATAATAGCTGTGGTTGGTGAGTGGCTGTTGTATTTGGATTATCACACAGGACACCAGAAACAACTTTCTGTATGCTGTGGGATGTTAAAGGCTCAGTTGCATAAGAGTTTTTGTCTGTCTGTTACAGAATTGTTTAATTTGTTGTAGAATTGTATAAAGGTGTGCTTACTTTGTCTGGACAGGCTCAAAGTCTGATGTTGGATATGATCATATGTTTACAAATTTAAATTTGGAAATAATAAGTCATGAATTTTTGCAGTGTTCATGATGGGCCTAAACTACGATATTATATTTTAGCATCCTGTTGCATTGAGGCATTATCCTTTATTATCAAAGTATCTGTCAATAATTCAACAATTTAAAAGACATTAGGAATATGTTTCACACTAAAAATGTATTTCAACAATTTTTGATGTTGTTAAAATCATTACATGTCAATAGGACATTAAAATCACATTTTGTACATTAAAAGTGATTATCAAATTGTATAAAATGTCTTTAGTCATATATTTGTTCTAATTTTCGACATGTTTCGTCCACAAGCGCCATCATCAGGTTTTGGGGAGACCACTGCATCACTCCCCAAATGAAGGGTTGTATGTTTGTAAATTTGTATTCTGAAATAATAAGTCATGCCTCTTTACAGTGTTCCTGTGTTGAATCGCTGTGTTCCTCGTCCAGTAAAGGAACTAGTATTTTCAGTATTAAATAGTTGGGATACAGTTGAGCAAGTGTTAGGTGACTTATATGCAACATGGAGAGAAATTTTGGTGCTCACATTACTGGCCTTTGGTAAGTTTATGTCATTGATCATTCTTTATACATTTGATGTCAGTGCATCAAATGTACAGAATCTGAGTCATGTACTGAGAGGTCCACCGACATTTTAGTAAATTATTTGGAAATTCCCACATGTTCCTTGCTAACAGCGATTTCCATGTGCTATAAAAATATTAAACCATATAACTTGAACATTTTGTGAAGGAACTTGTGAAGGAAGGATATATAAATTATTTTTTGTTTGTCAGAACTGTTGAAATGAATGACTGTTCTCATATATATATGCTTGGAAAATTAATACTGAGTTTATTGCATTAAATTTAAGAAGCTGATATAGTGTTATTATTTAGGTAATAAAGGTAATCCATCACTGTAACAGGCAGTAGAGGCCCATAGGGCTGTAAGATATCAAGGCTCACACATTTTGTAGACAGTCAGCCCATCAGTGTTTGTGAGCTTGTCAGCCTTATGCGCCAGCCACCCTTTACCCCCAGGAAGATACCTGGTACCCATTTCTGTTAGAGGCTGAGTCGACCTCCAGAGCCATACTGCAGCTGGAAGGAGCAGGACAACTGAAAAATGCAAATACTCTCTTTGGGAATCGAATCCACGACCTCCTGGCTTGTAGCATAGTCATATATAAGCAGTCAAACATCTGTATGACATAATAGGACAGTATTTTTCGACTCACATATTCTGATTTTGTTGTTGTTGTAATTTAGGCTTTTATTTAAATAAATAACACTTTCAGATGCAGGTATTTTATCATAATTCAGTAAATGCTGAATTCAGTGTTGGAATAGAAATAATAGTCTTGATTTTGAATTATACCTTGTTTTGATAAAGAAATTGTAAATTATTCATGTGTTATCAATAGTAGCCTGAGACTAGCACAGACTTGTGACAGGAGTAAGTGCAAATGATCAAGAAGATGCTCGTAACTGTTCATCTGATAGATGATTCTGGTGATACCAGTTTCTGATGTGCCAGAATATGGGCATATACACAGGCCAACTTTGTACTTTCAGCTCAAAAATACGGTAATCATTCCTTTCTTACTGGCTGACTGCACATGACACCATAAGCATGTCCTTTGGCTGGCCACTGATCACTGTATCAGGCTTGAAGTTGAGTCATTTACTTTGCATGAGGTTTGTGAATATATTGCTTGAAAATAGTTGTACCTGTGAAGGATGCAGTAACTTCACCCACAGTTAAAATATTTAGATGGATTTATAATGTAGAAATTATTCAGCCTATCAAAGAGAGACCTGATTTTCCAAAATCTGTCATAATTATTCTCAGTGTTGTCTGCTTGATTTGTATTGCTTCAGAAACATAAAGATGTCAATATATCGAAACCTGGTCATGTTTCATCACATTACTGATATATTACTGTCCAAGAGTGGGAGTGTAATCTTTCTATGTGTCCTTAATGTCGTCCCGTTTGTACTGTTATAGGCAGAAAGACATACTACTGTAGTCAGTAAGTTCGTGGACTGACCTCAAACCGTCGTTGCAGTGCACTATAGTGGATAGGTTGAGGCACAATATGATACCCTGTCAGTTCATCTCTCATCACAGCAAGAGGCAGTTGTGTGCAAACAGTGTGAGCAGAACTACTGCCTCTATTATGAACTGCAGTTAAATGCAAGTGGTGAAAATCGAAAATGTCGCAGTTAGAAAAATGGACAGACATCAAGTTCTGCCAAAAAGTAGACAAATCCCCTAGCGAAATGTTTGGTGTAGGAATAATTGGCTGTTGCTACATGACAATGCCCCTGCACATCGCTCTGTTCTTGTCCAAGAGGAACTGGCAAGGCAGCAGCTCATCATTTTGCCACACCCTCTGTACTCACCTGATCCCGCACCATGCGATTTCTTTCTCTTTCTCTTCTACGTGGTCGTAGATTTCAGTTGTCCAAGGAGGTCGTCAATGCCACAAGAGACACCGTACGGGAATTTCCTGCCAGTATGTTTCAGCAGTGTTTTCAGCAGCTATATCAATGTCGGCAGAATTGCATGGCAGTCATCGGCAACTATTTTGAGGGCCGATGTGGATCTGTGTAAGTGTATGTGAATACCTTGTGATATGATGCAATAAAATCACAGTCCACAAACTTAATGACTGTACCACGTAGTTGCCTGTACAGTTATATCCGGAAGTTATGAGTATATGTTGTCACTGTTGAGTTTATCTGAATATTGGTTGCAATGTTTATTAGTCTGTGCGTCCAAAAGTTGTGTCACTTCCATGAAGAGAAGGAGGAAGATGAATGACATAAATCAAGCCTGATAGTTTCAGGCTAAGAATGACCCTGCTGTTATTAATGTTCATATGTAACTCACAGCAGGAAAACATGACAGAAATCTGTATAGAGCAGTGGTGTGAATTATAGTGTCATAGCTGTTATAGGTTGACTAGTGATGAGCACTTGTGAACATTGAAATAAGTCTTTGGGTTGCATAAAGGTGAGGAATATCTTGACTAGATGAATGACTATCAGCAGCTCAAGAAGGACTGTACTCCGTTGAGTTAGTCGAGTGACTCATGTTTTCATGTACTTTGTTTCTTTTATGTTACAGTTTTATCTTTGGTATTAATTGCCATCCTTCACCTGCTTGCTTCTTTTGTGGCATGGATATTTATGCTAATTGTCAGCTTCACAGCAGTTGGTAAGTAAAAAGGATATAATTTGATACTGAATGTTCTGATGTAGCATTCAGATCATTTTCCAGAACAGAATCATCGAACCCTTAGCTTCTCTCCATCTTCTTGTTCATTATTGTTTCAGCAATGGCTTGTACTGTTGGAATGCTGTTTCACTACCTCAAAAATATGCAACTTCTTGGACATATGTAACCTAAAGATTTTTATAGAGGGATGCACATTAATAATTTGATGGGTTGTATAGATTTATCATACATAACACCAGGGGACTGTTGAAGTTAAGCACCTATTTAATGCCTACTTTTGTCTTTTGGAAAAAATGTGAAATGATATTGTTGGGAAGAAGCTTTGTCTTTCATGTCAATTTATTTAGGGGGCCAGGATAGCTCAGTTGGTATAATAACAGGCTATGGGCCAGACAGCCAGGGTTTGATATCCAGCAAGGGAAAGTAATTTTTCTCTTCTCCACGTTGTCCACACCAGCTCTGGGGCCTATCCAGCCTCCTAGCTAATGGTTACCAGTGGCTATTTCCTTGGAGATAAAGCAGGTGAGGCCACTCTTCTCAATCTGCTGCCAAAGTTAAGAATGGTGGAGCTATACTTCCACTCCACCATACTTCTTCATGGCATGGTTCTTTATTGATTAAGCACAGAAAGAACTTTATCTTAATGTTTATCTATTTGTTTATGTTTGTTCATGATTTTTTTAATTGATGCCATCCATCAGTTAGAGTTTATAGCTGCAATTGGTATGATGATGAATAAGGAATTTGAAATGATGTGAAAGAAAGGGGTCATTGCCTGTTTCCAGGGATTATCCCTGCAATGACTTGGAAGGACCGAGAAGAACAAATGAAACTTCAGTCAAGGTGGTCAGTGTCTTGGCCAAGATTGTACTGAGGAAGTCTCAAATATAATTCAGAACTACTTCTGCATGTGCCACCTTGCTTAGTGATCTTTGTGTCATACTAGAAATTCTTGTAGCTTCATGCATAAAATGTATATGAAGAAACTGGACTTTGCCTTTAGGTGGGAGGATTCTAGTTCAGAAATATTGTGAAGTGTTGTGAGGTTTCGCTCAGCTCATGAAGACAAAATCTGGGTTGTAACTGTAACATGGTCATACTTCTTCATCTCATATTCTTATCTAATCATGGTTTTTGATATCTTGACATACTTCTTAATTTTGTCTTAGAATACTTATGGGGATTAATTCAGAAATATCAAATGTATGTCTTTAAGCTGCTGCCAAAACTTTTATAGGTTATTGTGCAGCAAGTAAACTATTTTGATTTGGATCTAGTGACATTTTACAGTCATAGAAGTGCTATAATGTCACCTAATGAGCAAATTTTCAGAAAGTTTTAAACATGCCATTGAATTAATCATTCTATCATTTCTTAATTAATATTGCATAACCCAAGCAGTTAACATTAAGTAAAGAAGAAGGCAAATGGATGTGAAATTTCCCTTTCAAAGCCATTTGTTTTCTCATACAATGCTATGTCAGATTTGATGTTAAGTGAGGCTGGTTTTTAGTTGGCACAGGAATCTTATGGTGGACATATGTGGATTTAAAGCATCAGTTGGACAATACACCAGAAAGTCAGATGCTGAAGGAGTCGGTTAAAAATGAGAGTGCATTCCTGATTTATTCCATCTTGGCCACAATCATCACGGTAAATTAATTATTTAGCATGCTTTGTGAACTGGCTTTATGTGACAAACTAAATACTTTGTGAGATTTGAGGTTCTTATGGTGGTAAATGTGAAGATTATTGGGATGTGATGCCATGCAGTCTAGTAGATTTTTACTGAAATGTTTGGGGAATGTACTGTCTCCATCTTCAGTGTAGAAGTGTAAACCGAATGTGGAAAAGGGACAGGGGACCAGGACTAAGGCTGTGGGCAGACCAGTGGGGGGACAGTGGCAGATTAACAGGTGTACCAAGGGGAGCTATAAAAGAAGGGGGAAAATGTGGAGGAATGAAAGAAGGTGGGTAATGGAGGATGAACAGTGGTGGGAATAAAATGGATAAAAATGAAACACCATAAATTCATTGGGATGAATTAAGTAAGGGAATAAACACAAGTAAAGGAACATGTTACAGATGACAGTTCTAATTGTTAAAAGCTGAATATGACTTTTCATTATATATTGCATGTTAATGTTTCCTGTCTAATAATCTGTTACTGAATATATAGCAGTCTTCATATTCAAGTAAGTGTTCTAAGTATTGTGTTTTGCCACAGCTGTGAAATGTAATTGCTTTTACAGTTAGCTTATTTCAGAGCCATACCTATATTCCATCATACACCTTCGCATGTGGTGCTTAATTACATAAATCCAGGGGCAACTTTCCCTTCTGCCTTTACATCTTAATGACTAAGTACTTTACATTTAAAAGTACTCTTTCTTCCTTTGCATAGGTAACTTATAAGGTAAGTCAGTTACAGTTTCCTTTTCCTCCACTTACATAATGACTGGACAGTGCTGGAGATCTGACAGATTATCTGATATGTACCTTGTGCATAATTTTTAATTGCAAATGGGCAGTGTGGATGATTATGATGTCCTCTAGATTTTAACACCATCTTGTTCTTTAAGTTTGAAGCTTCACCTGTGACCTGGAAATTGCCTGGAGTCAGAGTATGAAAGTTTTCAGTTGTCTATCCTACATCATAAATAAACATGTTAGATTTCCTAGTATAATTGGATGTGTAGGTTATTGTGTGTTTCATGCAATGTGTGATAAAAAGAGGGCATCTGTCTTAAGAAAACCTACTACTGTTTTATGAGCCTGTAAATCAGAAAAGATCAGAAGTTCTGATGTTCACTACCAACCATCCACATTTCTCCTAGGGCCATAAATTGTCTGCATAGCTTTGTTTGGTGTATATACACGTAGCTGGCAAAAGTCAAGACACACATCTTAGATTTTATGTATAGTTAGTTTCTTTTCCTGTGTGTAAACAGATTTTAACCAGTTCCTATTGTTGCCATTACTACTACCAGTCTACGAATGCATAGTGATGATTTCAGTCAGCTGTACTTAATAATTAAATGAAATGATAATGTAATGTTGTGTCCTGACTTTTACCTGTTCTGTATTGAAGACTAATTTTGTTCTGCTACAGATTATAATCCTGTTGCTGGTGATAGCTGTGCGGAAGAGTGTCAGCTCAATGGCTCGTATATTTGAAGAGTCTGCTGAATGCCTGGCAGCACTGCCAGCACTGTTCCTTCAGCCATTCATAACATTTTTAGCTCTAGTGGCTTTTTTTGCCTTCTGGGTGTCTGTGACAGTTTGTCTGGCAACTTCAAGTAAGTGCTGGCCTTACTATGATTTTAGACTGATGTCTGAAATTGTGTCGTTGTTTTGATATGCACTAGTTTTTCCCAGTTGTTGTTTGATATTCTGCATAAGACATCTGATATTTTCTGTGGTGGGTTGTATATTGTAACCTAGCAGTTAATAGTTTTCATTTGACGATAATCCTTTTGTTCATTATGTCTGTTGTTGTTATTTACAGTTTATTTAATAACACTGTTATTAGCTCAGACTGAATAGTATGAAATCATTGTTTTTTAAATAATTTTATCCTCATTAGATAGATTATTGGATTCACCAACCATAAACCAAACTTTATTGTCAGGTGATGAATCATATGGAAAAAGCTTCTTGTTCAGTTCCTGGTCTTCAAGCCAGTTATCTTGACTGTTTCTTTTTGGGTAGTTTTCCTCATTCCTTTCAGGCAAATGCTGTGATAGTAATTCGAAATAAGCTGTAACTTCTTCCTGTCACATCTTTTCCACTTCATCATTCACAATCACATTCTCATCCAGCGCCATGTAATTTGTGGATTTGAGACAGTATTATTAAAATAACTGAGAAAGAAGTTCACTAGTCACAGGACACAAATTGCTTAATGACTGATGTATATAATTTGACAGTCACAAAGTAATCTTGTTTATTCGCCAGTAGTCTGGTATTATAGTATTATGAAGTAGCACTGTTTAACATAATTGTCACTCTTACTCTTCCCTTGTTACAGGAGTTGACTATCTTTGTTGGAAGATACTTGTCTTTGTGCAGTATATTAAATTTACAGGATATTTAGTATACTGTGTATGAATGTTTATATGAAATGAATTTGTAACAGGGAGTCCATTCCTGTCTCCTTAAGTTGTACACCTCTTATGTGAAGCACTTTTTGGTATGAAGTATTCATATCAAAATATGAGGAACAGTTATTCATGTCTGTGCTCTGTGGAGTGTGATTAGCTTTGCTACAATACATGTAGGATTTTACTTGCAGTAAATGGAGATGAAGACCAGTGAAGTATGAATAGTAGCAAAGAATATATCTTAACACTTTGCGGACCAGCAATTTAAATATTTAAATCACCCTGGCGACCGGCATTTTTATACCTACTACCCTAACTTGTGCACTGTTCAGTTTAAAAATTAATATAAAATCTCCTAATTAATTTTATGAACTAAAATTTTTGGAGAACACTTACCAGTGCTCCTAGAAGTGCTGGAGAGTGTGATATTTCTGGAACCATTCCCCTTTGTGAAGTGGCATTGCACACTTGCGGATGTAGACAGTCATAGCCCTTTTTTTGTGAACTGCGCAAACACACCATTGCCTAGAAGGATGCTTCCCCTTGGAATGTTCACTCTTCACAATTTTCACGAGGGTATGTTTCCGCATATCACCTGAGAGTCACCCGGGGGTGTCCACATGAGGCCTGCGTGAGGCGGGAGTTGATGGGCTAGGTCGCACTAAGTCTGTCTGGCTCTGGTTCTGCCGCCACCATCTGGTCTGTAGCTCACGCCTTTGCCACATTCATCAGAAATGCTTTGTATTTCAATTTTGAATCAGGGTTTAGATTTTTGTAAATTAAAAATGAATTGAAAAGGGCACAATTTATAAGCCACAAGGTAACTTTCACTTTTATTATCTGTGGCCACAATTCTTCGTTGGCCCCTGTCACTTCCACTGTATGAGTCACTAATCACTACTCCACAAGGCACGTCAGATAGCTCATCGGAAGACAAGACTGAGAGATCGCTTTGCCTTCAACCACTTTTGTCCTTGAAACATATTCCCCTCTGCTAACTTCCTGCCTGGTACATAAACATCTGGAAGGGGCAAAGTTTATTTTCTTTTGGAGTAGGGACCCTAGCCAGCCAGGTAAAGTTACTGAATACCTAGCATATATTCCAAAGATTTATTACGCAGTATTCATTGCAGATGCATGGCGCCAGAGCAAGGTATAGTGTGTTACAACCTAATGTGTCCTAAAAGCCTGATATGATGCGACCGGTCCGCCCCGTTTAAAAGCGAAAAGCCTGATATCATGCTTCCGGTCCGCAAAGTGTTAATATGTTAACTATAGTTGAGTGCACTTTTCCACTCTTGTCTCAGAAGTTGACCAAGTCATTACTGAAGCCATGCTTTTGAGAGACGATGGGCATAACATGTCATGTACTTCTAGATTACCCTGGGTCAGAGTTCCTCCATCCATTGGTAGACCCAGCATTGATTCCAGATGTTGATCCTTCACATTCTTCAGTATTCAAACTGTCAGTTCCACTGAGTAATGTCTCCCTATCAGGACTTAAACGTAAGTGAAATTTTGGCAAGAAGAAGAATTGCTTTCTTACATTTTTTATAATAGACTGAAATTATAGCTTATTTTCACCACTGATGAATATTTAGGACTTTGCTGAATATTTGTTTCAGAGGAAGTGTGGTCAGTTGAGAGGTCTCTTGCAATTGCAAATAACCATGATCCAAGTACAGAAATGTGGATACAAGAAAAATATAATAGGAGGTCTGAAAAAAAATTGCTTGATGAGAGAGTTTAAAATTTGTGTATTTCGTGTGATAGTATTAGATTGAGTAACTCAAAGGGGGTGATTTGGGTAGGACATGTAGAATGCTTGGGAAGTGTTTGAACAGTGTACAGAATTTTGGTCACTGTGCATAATTAATTAAGCACCACTCCATGAAGAGTGGAATGGAGTGGAGGTATAGTTCTGCCATTCTTCATCATCAGCACTAGATAGAGGTTACTGGTGAGCCATATGCCCCTGTTGCTTTACTCTCAGTATCCATTAGATGGGAAGCTGGGAGGGCTCCAGGGCCGGTCTGAATGCTGTGGAGAAGATAAAAAATCTCTTTCCTCTGCCAGGAATCAAACTCCATTGTCCAGTCAGTAGCCTGTCACTACACCAAATGAGCTATCCCATCTCACTGTAGCACACATGGGGGAAATTATAAATGCTTACTTAATTATGATCAGAAATTGTTATGAGACAGTATGACTTGTATGGAAGAATAATATTAAAATTAGCAGTAATGAAAATGTGAATTCATTGCAAGTAATATGGGGAGAAAGAAGATGAACCTGTATGCTTTCTCAATCTCAGCATTAGAGAGAGGTGAGTGATAAACTTTATTCTTTATCTTGACCCTCAGGGATCGAGTCCATGGAACTAGTAGGTAGGAAGCTCAGTCTAGCTTCTAGTCAGATTGAATGTGGTGACAGAGAAGATTCTGTTGCTTTCTGGATAGACTATGAAAGATTCAGGCTGTAGCTGGTCTCTTTGCTCTCTACTAATGTATAAAAATGGACCATAACTATAATGTGAAAACAGAAATAGGTAACTGGCCCAGGATAGGGTTCATGAGAGAATTTTGAGAATGTGGTGGTGAACCATTATGTACCATATATGTATGAAATTTTTTGACATGTTGAATAACTGTCAACTGCTAAAGGAAGAACTTGTGACATTGGAAAAGTTTTTCACTGTCAAATCTACTCTTATTAAGCTTTGTCAACAGTATATTTGTATCTGGAACATATTAATGTAAAAACCAGTGAATAGTATGGAAACTTCTATTTATTTATTTATTTACTTCATATCCATGGATCATTATACATGATATAGGACAAGTCAAATACTTTACAATAATAAATAATAATAATATAATAAATAATATA